ACGGACTGTGTGACTAACAAGTGTATTAATATGATATAATCTCCATACTGGATTACGGACTGTGTGACTAACAAGTGTATTAATATGGTACAATCTCACATTGAATCACCAACTGTGTGACTTTGATATATTCATAACACAGAGTAAACGTTTTATTCTATAGAAAATAAGTGAACTCACTACCCGTGAGATATTTTAAACTCATTTGCATCTTTAAACATGTCGCTATGTATTTCTTTGTTTTGTAAACAAGCCAATGAATTTCAGCCAGGATTTTGAGATTTCGTGTGGGGGAAAATGGTGGTGATATAAACCATTAAATGACTCCAAAGTAGTTGTTCAACGTTTGAGATTACGCAAATGTACACAATAACTCTACTGGGGAAAAATGTAGTGAGGGGTTGAGGATTGACCAAGAAGTGTTTATAATTTCAGTTAAATAATTTCAGATGAAGTTCAGAACATTATATTGTTTTTTGTATACACCACTCTCCCCCGTAGTTATGTCAGTGAGTTTCGTTATTCTTTCCAATATCTGTAACTTTAATACTTCATTTGAATTGATATGTGTGTGTGTGTTAATGCTTCTGTGAGCTAAATTATATTATATTATATTTTTTGCATCTGAAAGTTATACGTTGTTTTTTATAGGACGAGAAAGTAAGGACAAAGAACTGAAACTGGAAGAACGACGAAAATCACTTAAACATTCGCAATCTGAGTTGCGTCTTCTCGAGAGTAAGTACTGATCTTACTAAGCTAGACCGTAACTTGATAACTGGGGACCACTAGGGGACTAGTGGCATAATGGTTATCGCAGTAAATATAAATATATTCCTCCCATAACCTTAGAATCTGCTTAGAAAGAAATAAGGGTAGGTAACAGTAACCTAGAGTAAGCTACTCCATTCCTCAGGTTCATTAGGTGAGATCTCAGTCAAGTTACCAACAGAGGAAGTACAGATAGATTAAATGATGTAATTAGATAAAAAGGCTAATAGATGGAGTAGGATTCTTTTTTTTATGGAGAACGAATGAAAGAGCAGACAGAGGAATGATGATTGTTGATTAATTGATGGACTATAATCAAATAAAGAAATACAGATGGATGCCATGATTGATAGTTTTAATGCAAAAGAATTAAATTGATGGATAAAACAACACCTAGAAAAGGATTAGCACATAAAAGGGTAGATTGACGATGTCGAGTGATTAGATGATTAAATTTAAGGATAAATGGAGAGAAGGATGAAGTTGAATGTTAATGGAATTGTGTATTTAGACGGAAATGCCGATGGGCTAAACTGGAGCATTGAATAATTGATGACATTGTAGGGATTATTGACTGTTAGGTTGAGCAGAACTGGACAGACGGTGATGTTATTGACTCTTAGGTTGAGCAGGATTGGACAGACAGTGAGGCTACTGACTGTTAGGTTGAGCAGGATTGGACAGATAGTGAGGCTACTGACTGTTAGGTTGAGTAGGATTGTACAGACAGTGAGGTTATTGACTGTTAGGTTTAGTAGGATTGGACAGACAGTGAGGCTATTGACTGTTAGGTTGAGCAGGATTGGACAGACAGTGAGGTTACTGACTATTAGGTTGAGTAGGATTGAACAGACAATGAAGAATACTTCCGTTGATTGTTGTTACAACAAGTTGGATGGACGACGAATGATGAAGCAAGTTTTAATGGAATGTGAAATATGTTAGATTGTCATCTGAGCAAGATTATAATAATGCAAGATGACGATTTATTTTGTTTTATTTTGTTGCATAAAACTACACCACGGCTATCTGTACAAACCATCTCTAATTTTAAATAATAGACTAGAGGGAAGGCAGCTAGTAAACAACACACTATGCCACCTCTTGGGCTGTTCTTATCTGACCAAATAGACGGATTTGACTGTCACTCGTTATAATTTATCCACGGTCCCAAAGCGCGATTCTGGTATTTTTATTTTTTTTCCAGCAAAGATATGCTAACCATGAACCCTCTGATCCACAGTACGATACGTTTATCGCTGGACCACGCTCGGCTCTCAAAGCGATAGATAAGGGTTGTATTATTGATTCGTCAAAATAATTCAAGGTTCTATTTAAAGGACACTGGTCACAAAAAAATTTTGTTAATTTAATTATCTATGCCAGAAATAAAGTGTTTTTGTTTATCCTAAACTGTGTGAAAAACATCAGGGAGCTTCCTAAATGTCTAAGTAAACACAGATGATTTTGTTTTCGCTTGTACGCGTATTTCTAGTTCTAAAACTGTGACGTCACAGTTGTGGTAGCTACTGAATCTAATGCAGTATTTGATAGGAAACTGTCAGTGCTATGTACAAATTAGTTACGAATGAGAGAAGTGTTTTTGTATGTTTTACGTCTTCAAAATGACTTATTGCGTTGTATACGAGAATGATTCCAGACATGCAAAAAACGTATTATGGTTAAGTTCCTCAAAAGATCCGCCGAGATTTAAATCATGAATGCATTACTGTAAAAGGAAATATTTTGCACTTGCCTCGCTTGGCTAGTCTCGTGAACCACGTGTGTATAATAACAGTGATAAAAACAACCATAAACAAAAATACTGTTTGTTTTTTTGGGGGGGGGTTCGTTGTCATCAATGGGGCTGTCTCGTTCCACGGATTCATAATGATATCACGTAACGGTTGAGATAATTCACTGTGAATCCAGCATGCTCTGTAGTGCTCTGCAAATAAACAACAGACATGTTTTAAGCTGTGGGACTCACTTTCTGACAAAAACAGTTCGTTGTGAATCCCTCATGTTCTGTAATGCACTGTAAATCATCATCAGCCATTTTTCAGCTATGGGTACCCACTTCCTGACAACACATGCAATCGTCCTAATCCAAAAGATGAGACTGTTTAATTCATATTTTTTAGAAAATTAAGACCAACCTATGCTATTAAGGATAAAAAAGATTATAGAGTCCAAAAAAGTTAATCTTGCAATGCAAAAAATATAACACTTTTGAGTTATGACCCATTTTTGACCCGTTGCACTTTATTGTCTAAACGTTTTGACATTATCACAAAAGTTTAATGTGTAAATGAAAAGTTTCATAATTTTATGAGAAAAATGGTGTGGAATGTGCAAAAAAATAATAATAATTCTAAGTCAACAATGGATTATTATGGGCAATGGCTCATTTTCAACCCGAAAACAGACGCTTTCTATTGTTACCTAAATGTTTTTGAAGGCTCAATAAATGTAAACTTATACCAGTTATTTATCTCATTTGTTAGTAAGAAATAAAATCTTGGTCCATTTTAGAAGTCTTCAAATGACCAGTTCTGAGTCACGGTCAGTTTCATGCTATCATGTATAGTTCTTATAATGCATACAGTTGTCAAGCAGCAACTGTTTCACATGTCAAATAATCGTAATGTAGCTTAAGTAAGAGATTTGTGTATTTTGTTTGATTTGACATTTGCAAATTTAAATCTCAAACTTATCATATTGTTCGTAAGAACAAAGTCAATAAGGATACACTCAGAGCTATAGCTAATCTTTATTCCCCATGTTTCAAGTTAGTCATTAATATTCATCACTAGATATGGATGCTTCCTTGTCTTCATTGCCTTCACTAGAGTCATAGGATCTTTCTTCGTCAAGTTCCCATCTAACTGACATTGGTAATTGATCGCAATCAAACCATTTTACTGCATAGCGCCCATCAACCAACTACCATCCATGTTTAGTTGGATCTGTGATTGCATAGAGATTGTTTGCATAGAGAGGTTTCTGGTGCATTGTAGCTTTGCAAAGTGGCAGCATTCCAGCATCCACTCAAAAAGTGCATTTAGATCTTTTTGTTATGGGAGTGGATCTACAGTCACTTGCAAATTCCAACCTGACCACATTGGTGTACTCTCACAATTTCCTAGAGATATACTCCATGTAATGTTTCTGACCCTAGCTGTCTAATACTGTTTTGGTTGTTCCATTGATTGTACCTCTAATAGAAATGAGCTTTGTTTTTTTCCCTAAATGGTTCGAGCTCATTATGTGATACATCAAGAGATATTTTCTTTTATCTTCTTTTTACAGGGTTATTCATGTCTTTTTGCTTTTTCTTGACTTTCTTGGATCTTCCTGACACAAGTAAACATTTTGGTAGCAGATGCCTTTTGTATAATGAAGTGTTCTAGAGCCAGACAAAGAATGTTTGTTTTTGTTAAAATTGTCCCGTGCAAGACCAGTGTTAAGGAGTGGGACAGCATTAATTCCATTTGGTAAATAGCTGCCTCTCTGCCAAATGTTCTCAGCTATTTCTGTCTCTATTTCTTCAGTGTTGTGGTAGCCCACACAATTTCTGAAATGGTTCACTATCTCTTGCATTTTCCTAGACCCTGTTAGACTCAGGTTTACTCTTACCATTGGTTGTCTTGTACAAGCCATTTTCTGCTCTGTTACTACATTCATCAGGTTTGTCTGACCCAGTATATAACACTTTGTAAAAAAAAAGCAACTCTTCAGAAGTTTTTGTTTGTCCTTCCAATATAGCTTCAACAGTTATTGGATCAAGCAACTCGGTGTTGTTCAGTTCTATGATCTTCGCTCTAAGCTGAAGAGTGCTTCAGCAATTGCATTGCTTTGAGGTTCACAAAAAGTTGATGACAGTTCGATACTACTTTTCTTGCTTGTCATGTTAGTCTTAATCTGTTCTCCAAAGAGATCTTTTATTTTCTGTGGTAGCCAATCTTGGCTCCATGTGACAGATGCATTTGATTCTGCTGACAGAAGAGCTCCACACTTCTGGTTGATGGCAGAAACAACTTTTGCATAACTCCTGTTTTATGTTGCAATGGCTGATTCTGAAATCCCAGATTATCTGCTTTAGCTAAGAATCGAGCACGACATGGTATCTTAGCTCTTTTGGAATGAAATCAGTGCTGTTGTATTTCATAATGACATCATTAAGTCGTCTAGCAGCATCTTTTTCTCAGATGCGAATGTTGCGCATTTGGTAGACTTTTCAAATTTTTTATCTATCCTTGTCTGTTCACAATTGCAAAATACGCAGTTTGAGCCAAGAAGTTTTAAACAATTTTCGCATACACTGGAGTATTTCGATGCTCTGTTGGAAGATATTTGTTTGTACTTACGTAGCTTTAGTCCAAGTATTGTTATCAAAAGGTTGGATTTTTAATCTAGTGATAAATCTGTTTGAAGTATACAGTGCAGCTCATTGTTCCCATTGGACATGTCTGCAGCTGCTCTTATTATAAAAATAATGTCTTCTACTGTATAATATAGCTACTTACTGATGATCTCATCATAGGCTTCATTTTCATTGTGGTCTGAGACTCTAGTTTCTTCTGTACTCTCATGGAAAGCTTCATAATTATGATCAGGATCCAGGACTATAAAACATGATATATTTTACCTGAACATACTTTACCACATTCATTAAATAAATGTCACAAATAAACTAAAAACATAATGACTCTCATAGTGTTATGTTACACAGCTATTCAAATCATTATAAAATAACACCCAAAGGTATTATATTATGCATATGCAGTGTGATGGAAATAATATTTTGGGGCCAAAAATGGGCCATTACTCATAATAATTGATCCACTACAAGAATATTCACAGCTGTAACAACATTTATTTCATAAAATAAAAATTATTTTTAATTTCATTTCCTTTGCAGATGTATTTCTGTGATAATATAAAAACAGTTTAGGACACAAAGCGCAACGAGTGAAAACGCCACTTTTAGGGCCAAAATTGGCCATAACTCAAAAGTGTCAGATTTCTGCACTGCAAGGCCCACTTTTTTTGATTCTGTGACCTCTTCTACTTCTAAAAAGGTTAGTCTTGATTTCCTACGAAAATGTGTATTAAATGACCTTATCTCTTGTATTTTCCTAAGTTGGTAATATGGTCTAGTTTTCACAGTCACACCTAGAGAAATAATATAGTTGGAGTACCCGTCCTCTAGACGCAAGTTATGTAAATTCATGATTAATTTAAGGTTATCTCAGGACATGAAAAGTTGCTTCTCTTATATGTAATTGTGAAAAGCGCCCATAAAAACTGCAAAACACAAAATGTGAAACACAAATTTGCATGTGTCTTTGCAAGGACCCAGCAAACCTTCATACCACATTTGGTGAAGAGCCATCAACAGAAAGCGAAGCGAAGTAGTGGTAAAATACGCCCATAAAAACTGCACAAAATTAAATATAAAACTGAAAATTTGTATGTACCCCCCGCATAGACCTAATGAGCCTCCATACCAATTTTGGTGAAGATCCATTCACACCCTGCGAAGTAGATACATGGACATACAACAGACAGTACTGTTATATTTATATAATAGGTTGCCAGGAAATTAATGTCGCATTTTGGAACACTTTCATTA